GGCCTTTGCTTCTTTGGCCTACTATTCCAAGCGTTACCATGGGGAACCTGGCATTCTGTGATGGGGACAGCCAGCCTGCAGTGAATAAGCTAAATGTAGTCCCTGCAGTAATTTGTGACGTGCCTAAGATTCTATTCATGTCATGGGGGTGGGGGTTTGCTGTGGGTTAAACCACTGAGCCTAGGACTTGCCGATAAGAAGGTCGGCGGTTTGAATCCCCGCGACGGGGTGAGCAGTTCGAAAGCACGTCAAAGTTCAAATAGATAAATAGGTACCACTCTGGTGGGAAGGTAAACGGCGTTTCCGTGCCCTGCTCTGGTTTGCCAGAAGCGGCTTAGCCATGCTGTCCACGACTGGACCTAATGGTCAGGGGTCCCTTTACCTTTACCTTAAAGGAGGGGGGTGCTGTTTTCAAAGGAGATAATTCGCAGTCTAATGCTACATATATGCTTTGGATTTTATATGCCATGCCACCCACTGAAAGGATGGGTGGGGTCAAATCATTACCAAAACACGCCTGCAACCCAGGAACCGCTTTCTGCTGCATTAGATAACATTCCCAGGATTCTCAACTTTGCCTGTAAAGGAAGACTGAAAAAATTGTGTGTCCTTCATTTAAAAAACAAAACTTTTGATGTGACTTTTTCAGACGAAAACCTGCATAGCTGCTATCGAGCCTTTGATGCTCTTATTTCCAGGGACCAGAAGCTTATGCGGCGTTATTTATTCTTTGCTACTTTGACTTCCTGCAAGCTGCAGTTTAAATTGATGCTTATGGTTTAATGGATGTATTGTAGGGGATTGATTAATCATGCCAAGCAATTACTATATTTGTAATTAGTTAGAAACTAAAGTTTTTCTTAATCCACTTGATTTCTATAAGAAAATGTGAGTGGATTCAAAGAGAGAGAGAGGAAGGGAGGAGTTTTGAACTCTAAAAGATTGAGCAATGAAAACTCCTTCCTTGGAACTTTTCAAAGGCAGGTTCAGTAGGGCCATGCATAGATGTTTATATATTTGCCATGTTTTCACTCATAAGAGAGAGTTGCCAAATGGCCTGTGTGATTTGAACCAGGCCAAGATACACTGAGTGCATTCATATCTTTGCTTTTCATATGAAAGGTCCCAGGTTGCGTTCCAGGCATTTCCAGGTAGGGGATGGTAAAGGCTTCTAACCCTGACAGGCATGTGTGAATCAAGGGATGGGGAGCCCATATTGCTCCAGGTGTAACTGAACTCCAACACTCATAATTCCTGATGGTTCAGTATGCTTGCTGGGGCTGACAGCAGTTGGGAGTTCCACATTATCTGGAGGGGTTCTGCACCCCTAGTGTAGGCAGAACTGAGCTGGTTTGTCTGGTTCAGCATAAAGCATCATTGCTCTAGTCCCTTCTCTTTATTTTAGATAAAGGGAACCCTGACCATTAGGTTCAGTCGTGACCGACTCTGGGGTTGCGCGCTCATCTCGCTCTATAGGCCGAGGGAGCCGGCGTTTGTCCGCAGACAGCTTCCAGGTCATGTGGTCAACATGACTAAGCCACTTCTGGCGAACCAGAGCAGCACACGGAAACGCCGTTTACCTTCCCGCCGGAGCTGTCCCTATTTATCTACTTGCACATGACGTGCTTTCGAACTGCTAGGTTGGCAGGAGCAGGGACCGAGCAACGGGAGCTCACCCCATCACGGGGATTCGAACCGCCGACCTTCTGATCGGCAAGTTCTAGGCTCTGTGGTTTAACCCACAGCACCACCCGCGTCCCCCTCTTTATTTTATTTATTTTATTTTATTTATCTTTATTTTAGCACAGGGCTAATCATTGCTGAAACTTTAATACAGACATAACCACTGTATATGCTCTGCCAGCATATGCTATAGCTGCTTGCAGAATACACATTCCTCCAGCTTTTCATCCAGATTTTGCTGGCTACTTGGAGGCTATCCCAAGATCAGCAACGACACAATGCACAAAGACTCATATCTATGAATTCGCATCATGGTCCTATGCAGTCCTATGTATGCTCAAGTATTGTCGGTGAGGAGAGTACTGGTTTTAGAGTACTGCATTAAAGCAGCAGTCCGTGCACTCTAAAAACCCCTCTGCTTGCACACCTAAATAAAAAGTTCCAGTTGCAATTGCAAGGTGGGCTTTGGCTGAAACAACTCGTTTCGAAATCTTAGGATGAGACGTGACTTTTGACTTCTTTGTTTTCAGCTGTCTGACCCAGTTTTATGTTACGGCCCTAGAGGAACTCCTCCAGGCTGCCTTCTCATCATGCAGTGACTTCGTGCTGGAGCTGCTAATTGTTGTGTAGGATTCCCAAGCTTTAGCCATAAGACTTACCGCTTAGTTGCATACGCTGCATGATTAACATAGTGTGGGGAAGTGAATAGCTCCTGCCCCCGCCCCAGACCATAATGCAGATTGGGCAGGGATGGAACATGCCATGTTGCACCTAAAAGTGCTAAGTTTTGATGCAACTGCATTGTGATCTAATGCTAAACTGTGAGGAACCACCAAAATACGGTTTGCACTTCCGCTGCACGGTAGCAACTCACTTTACAGATTATTTTCTTTTATTTTCATAAATTTATTAAATTTTCAGATTTTGAAATTTACAAACAATTGTTAAACAACCAAACCCTAAAGAGAATTCCATAAATTCTCAGGGACTTCCCTCCTCCCCTTTGTGGGTCCTTATGTTAACTTTTTTCCTTTTGCATCTTCTCTGTTAATCCAATTCTATTAAATCTCCATTACAACCATAGCCCAATGTTCCATTACAAGTATCATTCCAATCCTACTCATAGTTTTAATTGTTTACAGTGATTTTTAAGATAAGTTAGATATTTTTCCCATTCCTTATTAAAAAATATTGGCCTTCTTGATTCCTTGATTCTTCTGGTCATTGTTGCCATTTCAGCATAGTCCATCAGTTTAATCTGCCATTCTTCTCTGGTAGGGACTATGTCTTCTTTCCATTTCTGGGCTAGTAACATCCGGGCAGCAGTGGTCGCATACCTAGTCTCTTCTGGCCCCTTGGTATTTTGGCACCTAGAATTCCTAGAAGAAAAGTTTTGGGTTTTTTAGAGAAGGTTGTTTTATTTTTATTTTATTTCTTGCAATATTACATTCAGAAAGATAACATCTTTTAGCATTCTTTACATTATGTAAATATATATCCATATGTCACTATACCTTTTCTCCTTTTATGTCCCCATGACTTTCCTCCACCCGTGCTTGACATCATTTAGTTATTTTATATCCTTTAATGTTGTGTTAAAACAAAGTACTTTACATAATAAACCATAGTATCTTTTCCGTCTTTTAACCTGACTTTACGAACTTCAGTCTAAGCAAATCAATAAATTTCTTTTGGAACAATATTTTGCCATATATTCTTCTACACATTCCCATTCTTTCCTTAGTTTTTGATTAGGTTGTAATCTAATTGCTGCCGTCATTTTAGCCAGTTCAATAAATTCACAGGTTATTTTAAACATTTTTTTCAGTTCATTGTATATCATCCAGAATTCTTTTGCTGCTTTACAAGTCCACCACATGTGATAAAAGGTGCCTTCTTTTTCCTTACATTTCCAGCATGTATTTGACCTTGTTTTATACATTTTAGCTAATTTGCTAGGGGTTAAATACCAGCGATACATCATTTTCATATAATAACCTCTCCCATGCTGCAAGTTGTATATTAGGTCCAAAGTCTCTCGTTCAGTGTATCATAACTGATTTAACCTGTTCGCCTTTCATAACAGCTCTTTTTCAAATTTAGAGGTTTCATCAGAAAAGCCTTTTTGTCCATCTTGAATATATCTTTAAGCTGATGGTATTCTAACCAATCAGTTAATAGTCCTCTTATATTTCACTTTAAAGATTAGAACATGTTGCTAAGGAAGCATTATTACTATCAACCTGCCCTTGTTAACCACAGAGCTTATTGTCCTGTATCTCAGACAGCATCTTTAGCCTTCTGGCTCCTTTGGATTCACAGCTCATCTATCTCTTTTCAAACTCAAATTCCCAAAATGAAAGCAATTCTGAGAATTAAGAGAGAGACTGTGTTGCTGCCACTCCATGGACCTTTTCAGATGTAATACCAAATTATGACTTAGAGTTATGTGCATGAGCTTGGGCCTCACATTCTGCCTGCTTTTCTCTCTTCCTATGGCATTGCTACAAGGACGAGATCAGAATTTTCCTCATTATGGCTAAACATTTGGAGGGGGGGAACTGTAGTTAATTTAAACAAGCCAGGACTAAACTGTGTTTTAGAATCTGGTTTGTTATGTGTCTTCCTTAGGTCCTCCAACACAATGTGCAATGCTGAATCCTTGCACTGTCTCAGCCATTGATGCAAGACTGGAATGGGGAGACACACAGTATAGTGGGCCGTGTTCAGTTAACTCAACGAGTTAGCAGAAGCCAGCGCTAAGGTTCCCAATAGTGCAACAGAGGTTCCTCTCCTCTGGAGGGTCAGACAGCAAGCAGGGGGACAAGAGGGGGAAATTGTTTCATCAACGCAAGCATTTCTGCTTACTGATGGAGCTATCTTCTTAACACTACGCTGAATACAGTCTGGTGACTCCATGTTGTATTGTAGTACACATTCTGCGGAAGGGAAGGGAGAGCAAAGAGACTTGGAGCAGCAACAACTCTGTCTCTCCTACTAAAGTCTAGTTCTGCCTGTCCCTCTGTTCATCACCCTAAGTTTCTTCTCTGCTCACAGCAATATTCCACTTCCTTAGCGCTGTCCAACTGTCGGGTCTCTGTGGCTGATATTTTCCCATCAGTGGTTACAATAATTGAAGATTCTGAGACGCTGCGGCAACTCAACCGTTGCCTCGGCAGCGGAACTGCAAGCAGCGGCTCACCATAAATGTTGCTGGCTAGAAATGACCATTGGAGTGCCTGCAGTTAGTGAAATACTTCACAGTTGTTTCTCCCATCCATAGCTCTGAGCCCCGTCTTTGAACCGAGACTCAGGAGGCTGGGACAGCTCAGTCGGTAGAGCATGAGATTCTTAATATCAGGATCGTGGGTCTGAGTCTCACACTGGGCAAAAGATTCCTGCATTGCAGGGGGTTGAACTAGATGACCCTCGTGGTCCCTTCCAGCCCTACGGTTCTGTGATTCTGTCCCAGCCTTTCGTTTAATCCATTGCGTTAATGTTGGGTGATGGCTGTCTTGAAGAGGTTATTGGACCAAACCTAGAATTTGTTATGCTCCTGCTAGAGTTATCACTCAGTCTTGGACCACACTTCTTATTCTATAAGTTTTGGCTGTGGAGGAACAGACAACAGAAGGAAATACATGACAGAGGGTGGACATCTCAAGTGATATAAACCCACAGGTATTCCTCTGCCCCTTCGTCCCCTGGCAAGTTTGATGTTTAGCATCTCTCAGCAAAATTGCAAATGTTTCGGTGAGACCTTCTTCCTTTGCAAAGTACATACTGTATTTTTTGCTCTATAAGACACACTTTTCCCCTCCTAAAAAGTAAGGGGAAATGTGTGTCTTAATGGAGTGAATGCAGACGGGAGGCTCTGCTCAGCGCTCCCTTTAAAGAGCCACGTGGAGCGTGTGTACGGCTCTTGGGGGCTTTTCCTTGAGGAGGGAGAAGGGCTGCCCTTCCTCCTTGGGGAAAAGCCCGCAAGAGCCACACACACACTCCACACACTCTTTAAAGGGAGTGCACACACTCTTTGGGGGAGCCTTAGCCACGCGCAGCCTCTCCCGGGCAGGGGATGAAGGCTCCCCTTGCCCAGGAGAGGCTGCGCGAGGCTATCCTATAAGCTGTGCAGCGATCCCGCTTGCTGTCCTGGCTTCTGGGATTCAGAATTCCACCCCCACCCCCCGTTTTCCTCTTCCAGAAACTAGGTGTGTATTTTAAGCTTGCTCTCCCCCTCCATCCGATGCCATGATGGCTGGCTTGAGCAGTAGAGCATTGAAATGTCTACCTGAAGTTGCGGGGTTAATGGATCAGTGGTTGCTAGGCAGCTGCTAAGTGCTTTCTCCCTCCCTCCCTCCATCCTCCCCGCAGGTCTGATCTAGAGCTCTGAGGAGGCCTTTTAAGCATGTGCCCTGGCTACATGGAAGGAGCTTCTGACAGTCCTTTAACCAGCACAACCACGCATGGACAAGGGCTGACCATGTGAGACTTCCCCACAGATTTGGCGTACCTGCTGCTAGTCAGGACTTGCACAATATGCCCTTGCTGTGTGCTGAGTCACCCCAGCGGCACGACTCAGAGAAAAAGCATCTTCTGTGTGTTTAGGCTTCCTAACAAGGGGCTGAATATGCAGCTAGGTCTGCAGTCCTAGCGCTTCTTTCCCAAATCTAGGTTGTTGCTTCTGGTGTTCTGCATGCTCTCTGTCTCTTTCCTCCCCAGCCCCCTTTTGTAATATCCCAGAGCATACAAATGTATTTTTGTTGGTGAAAGGAAAAAAAAGTGGCACTGCCTAACATTCCTTTAAACATGAACCTTCTTAAATGGGCCACAAAGTGGGGAAAGGAGCTTTGCATTCTAAGACACAAACCTGAATGCCTGAGAGGAGGAGGAGGAAGGGGTACAGAGAAAGCAGAGGCAGCAGTCTGGGAAGAGACTCAGGCAACTGCCAGGGACACCAGCAGAACCTTTAAACACAACCAGTTTATCATGCAGGATCAGTCGGCTGCCTTCAAACACAGCCCTCACGTATTAATTAAATGCTCACATGTCCACTATAGCTGGGTTTTTTTTTTAAGCATACACATGCACCAAAGAATGAAGTACAGAATGTAGAATGAGGGCAACAGAGGAGCCAAACGCTGACCTAGATATTTGTTGTTGCTGTTTACTTGGCAAAGGGAGAAATGCAGAGCAAATATTGAAGTCGGCCTGGCAATAATGATCCTCCTGTTCTTTTGGAGGCTTTCCTTTCTGTGCCAGCTTTTAGGTAAGGGGAGGCAATTTCCCCAAACAATCTTCTTATACCTTGTTTAACTGAAAAGGTTATGGGGATGCCCATACACTTACTTAGCTTGATACCTTCTTGTTGAGAGCCAATGGGGTCAGTGGCATAGCCAGTCTTTACGTGCAGGGGAATTCACTAACTCACCAAGGGGTTTGAGACCCATCGGCTGCCCTTGTCTGTTTCAGCCATCCAGTTGAAGCCATTCCTGGGGTGTGGCTGCTGTCACAGGCTGACAGCTTCTAGGAGCCACAGGTGAGAGCTGAGGGCAGGGCGGGAACCAAAGGTGGACAAACTACTCAGGAAGGAGCATGACATGCCCCCCACCAGAGATTCTTCCCTTCCCCTAACACCCCATACACCCTGAGAGAGTAGTCATGCTATAATGAATACTGAAAATCATTTTGTTTCCTGGTAAATGGCAGATGACAAAGGATTTCGTTTTTCTTAATGGTTATTTTAATTTATGAATCATAACACTTGCCTAGGCTGCTGTATCACTGACATAGTCTGAGTTCTGCACAAACTCTGAATGAAGTCCCATAGGAAACAAAAATGTCTGCAGTGCATTTGTTTGAGGATTAAGATGCTGGTTTGCTTCTCCAGGACTCGTTGCCTTCCTTTTCTCTAATGTTCTTATGCCTGTCTAATGACCACTTAATTAGTCCTGATCTTGTATGCTGTTGATTCCTTCTGTATATTGGAATGATGTGATATTGCTGAGACACTCTCTGTCTTTTATGGAAGATAAAAATAAAGATTAATTAAGACTTTTTAAAAAAGATACCAGTCTGTTAGTGGGACTATGTGATTACAATGAGTGGGAAGTAGCTAGTTTGGCATGTGTTTAATTGCACCTTCTCCTGCCGTGAAATAGGATGGGGCTAAATTACCCTATGTCATCATCATTCTCTTTCCCCATGACTCTCACTTCCACTCCTTCCCACTCTCTCTTGGCTACTAGAAAGCTTTTGAGTCTGATCCTCCCTGAATATTGCCAGACTGGTTTGTGAAAAATTGCCTACAGACTGACAGGAACCCCAAACCCTAACCTCGACATAGCTAGGCTCCCTTGTCCGTTTAGAGCAGGGGTAGGCAACCTAAGGCCCATGGGCCACAAGCGGCCCCCGGAGGTCGTTTAACCGGCCCACAAGCCACCCCTGAACCAAGCCACTCACTCGGCAATTCCCTGTGTGCAGTGCTAAACCGGTGCAGCTTGGCATGGGGACTTGCTTCCGCGGCGCCGGAAATCACGTCTGTGCAGATGCAGATGCTGAAAAACGCACATGCGCTCATGCACGTGCGGGATCCGACCCACGGAGGGATCTCTGCAGGAGTGAACCGGCCCAGGCGAGGTAAACCTTGCCGACCTCTGGTTTAGAGCTAAGGCAAGTTCTGTTGGTTATGCAAGTTGCAGTAGAAAGCGATATCCAAGGGGGTCGTTTTAGAGTAGGAATAGAACTAATTGCAGGGAGTTGGGCTTGATCAGGATGATGATGATGATGATGATGGTGGTGGTGGAAGTTATTGTTCATTGATCATTAGCATCCATCTGTCTCAGGAGACAATGGAGTGCGCCTCCGGGGGTGAAGTCAAACCACTGCATTAGTAGCACCAAAGTTACCTCCCCAGAGCGCAAGCCTGGGCAGTGAGCGTATGGAGGTCCAGGGCTGCCCAGACAACAAGACCCTTCTCTCAGCCTTGTGGATGTGGTCCAAAGGAAAGCAGAGCAGTATGTTTAGCACCAGCTTGGCTGCAGGAGTTGCCGATGGTGTCCAAGGCACCACCCAACTGTCTTAGGGACTCCACTCCAGATTTGTGTAGGGGTTTTATTCCTTAGCCTTTTCTTCTCCCTAAGATATCCCACAAGGCAGCAGAGGTTTAGGACCAGAGTCTTCCTTGTCCTAGTTGGGCTTCCCAGGTTGACAAGCCCCATCCGTCCCTCACGTCCCTACAGCATGAGCAGAAGCTGCCTTCTTGACCATTGGACCCACTATTGGTCTTGTCCACTCAGTCCACCAGAGCCTGTTTTCACATACAGGGGAAGTCCCTAACTCAACAGAGGGTTTGAGACCCATTGGCTACCCTCACCTGGTTTAGCCAGCCAGTTGAAGCTGTACCTTGGGTGTAGCCAGTCGGTTGAGACCAACCAATTAGTTGAGGCCTTTGGAATCGAACACTAGTCATGCTAGGCACTGCTGACAATTTTCTCTCTCTACCATATCTTGTGCTTCTCTCTGTATACCTCACGAGGGCTAGAACTTTGCTTTCTGTTTAAATAAGCTTCTCGTGCCATGAGTCACGAGTAACTTCAGTTGAGACAACCAAAGATCATCCCAAGCAACAGACATATCTCAGGGCACCACCGTCTCATTGCCTACTGCTTCATGTTCACTTGATGCTGATCTTGCCAGTACAGTTTGGCATAACCTTGATTCGGGATGTGATAGCATAGCAGTGAACAAAACTTCCAGGCTGTCAGCTTTGGTTTGGAGTCTTCGGATAAACTCTGTGTGGCAGATGGAAATTAAGTTCACGTGTGTGCCTAAAAAATCCTGCAAAATGCTAATCAGGTGGGCGTCCTTTGAGAGTCTACGTGTTGGAATATCAGGCTCTCATCAAGTACAGCCAATAACACCACCCTCATTTAATTAGTCTGCTAGCAGCACTGTTATCTGGAGGGAAAGAATTCATGTGGAAAAATGATGGGAGAAGATACAGACTTTAAGGGCTCAAGCTTCTTTTAAAGCAGTTGTAAAAATGTGTTCAATCTTCTGAAACAAGCATAGGAGCAAACAGCAAAATATACCCTTTGCTGCTGGCTAAAAGTGAAGCTTTCATGAGGTGTTTACCTCATAAGTACCAGTAGAAAAGGCTACCATTATAGACAGAGGTGGAAAGGACCCTAAAGGTCCTTTAGTTTAATCTGTACATGTGCTTGTTTTTTATATTTCCATTTAAAACTTCTTTATACAGTCCAGTTTAAACTGACTTATTTGGGTTGTCCGTGAGGTGGTTGTGGGCACATACCTGTTTCTTCTTGAGCTTAACCTAAATGCTTATCAGTATGCAATTTCAAAAGATTCATTTATTTGGAGAGAGAGAGAGA